CGCAAACCGAGGCGAGTACTTCCGAAGTGTCGTTCGAAGAAATCAGAAACAAAGTCGTCGATTTGTTAATCGATGCTGTGTGGATGGCATGCCGTTCTCGTAACGATGTCAAGCATCGTAGCGCTCTTTGGCGTGCTACTGCATTAATGATTTCTATGCCTGGTAATTGATAACAGTAATTTCTTCAAAATTATGTTATCATTATTACCCAATTTGTCATATTATAATTTATATCTTTAGGGACGCACAGACGTTTGTTACATACTGTAGCCTCTTCGCAAATTGAATTGTTCACTCCTGCAGCTATGACCACAGCTGTTGAATGCTGGCAATGGATACTCACTGTACGACCAGATTTGAAACTGCGTTTCTTGCAAGAAATGCTCGTTGCATGGCAATACACCGTTGACAAAAAAATGGGTCTCTTTGCACCGGATGAAAAAGAAGTCAGTCCATTGGCGGTATACGAGGGTTGCAAGTTAGGTCCGAATCCTCCTTTAGTGAAACCTCATGATATTTGGGTGACATTTATCGTGGAGCTAATTGAAACTGCGAAATATTGCTGTCAAGAAACAGTTGATATGATTGTCAGTTTGCTACATCGGTCACTGCCTATGACTGTTGGTGCTTCTGGGGAAGAACCTGGAATGAGTCGGCATGTTGCTGCAATTGGTGTACGTTTCAAATTGCTCTCTTGTGGACTGCTTCTTCTTCAAGGGGATATTTTACCAAGGTACAATATTGTGCAAAACACGAGATATATTATTTGAATATGTGAATGTTTAATACGTTTCATTTGCAGAACATTGAGTAAAAATGTGTTACGAGAACGCGTATACTGTAATTGTTTGGATTATTTCTGTCGAGATTGTCAAGTACCAACACAAGAATTAGAACAGCTGCACGAAGACTTGGTTACACTTATACGTTTCTGGCAAGTCAGTAAAATATTCTCAATTCAATAACATTAGTTTTTTGTTCAATTGTTCTTCCTAATAATATTTATTTTGTGCTATCACAGGTGATGCATAGTGATAAAAAATATTTGGTAATGACTGGTAACGAAGGAGAATTTGAAATGTTAACACCTCAGTCGTGTTCAACCGGTGGTTTTGGGCCTAGCGAAACGATTAGCTCTTTCAGCACAGCGTTAGGCACAACAAATTCTGAATATCCAAAAACACCGACCAGCGTATGGATTAATACAGTCCCAATGTCCACCAGTAGCAATACTTTGGGTAAACGTAGCAATCGTAGTAAACGTGTTATGAACGCTAACGTTTTTGTAAAAGATTACATAAAGAAAAGAAATTTGATTCTTGAATTGCTAGCCGTTGAAATAGAAATGCTACTGGTACGTTCAATTTTATGTTTGCGCTTTGTTTTTTTAATGTTCTTAATGATATTGAATACTATTTAAATTACAGGTTTGGAGAAATCCTAGTGGAAGACAAGAACTTGCACTTCATGGTGAATCAAGCATCGCTGAATGGCGTGCTAAGGGTATGAACGATCGATGGCGGGAATATACGCGCCTTGCGTGGGAAATCAGTCCCGTTCTCGCTGTATTTTTACCAGTTCGATTAAAATACTCGGAAGTTATTATCAAAGAAGTTTGTGGACTTGTCCGTCTCAAACCCGTACCAGTTATGCACGTCCCAGAAGCTTTACAATACCTCGTTACAACAGATACATTACTTAACGACGTACCTGAAGTAAGTTATTCTTTAAATAATATTACTTTCGAATATTCTATAGAATTAAAAATTCTAATTT